AATGATGATAGCATTATGGAAGCATTGGTTACTCTTGATATGTTTTGTAAACTATCAGGACTCTGCCTTAACGTTAATAAATCAATTGGCATGCTTATTGGATCCTGGAAACATAGAAAAGAAGAAATAGCTGAAATAAACTGGCAGCACCTTCCTTTTAAAATTTTGGGAATCTACATAGGTCATGATCGCAAAACATTTGAAAGAGAAAATTGGATTGATAAAATAGAAAAATTTGAAACAATTTTGAACACATGGAAAAAAAGAAAGCTTACACTTATCGGTAAAGTGACTATAATTAATAGCTTAGCGTTATCCCAACTGATTTTTACTGCCAGTACCATTGATATCCCCAAATTTGTCTTTCAGGCAGTTGATAAAATAATCTTTTCTTTGCTATGGGATTCCAAAACAGACATAATATCCAGGAAAACACTACTTGCCAAAGTCTTAAAGGGAGGTATTAATATGCCAAATTTTAAGGCACGATATCATACATTGAGAATTATGTGGCTGCAAAAACTTTTGAAGAATGATGACAAATGTTTTTGGAAATCATCCCTGTAATGAAGGTACTTAAGATTATGAGTGAGCCCTCTATTGTATGATACATAGAGTAAGGACACATGAGCCTTAAGGCAGTTGATAACAAGATACCAATAAAGGAACATACAAGAAAGTCAGAACAGCCTACTGTATATTATTGTCTACAACATATCATTACATGGTGTCAGAAGTAAATCAAAATAAACGGATTAAAACCACCAACTTCTCTTAAAATCACTATGGAGAACATGGCTGAAGAATGGAGAAAGTGGAAACAGAAGTTTGAGTTATACATTATAGCCAGCAGATTGGATCGAAAACCAAACAAGGTACAAAGTAGCACATTACTACATGTAATAGGTGAGGAAGCTTTAGAAATTTTCAAATCTTTTTCATTTGCTGACAACGAAAGCAATGAAAATATTAAAGATATTTTGGAGAAATTTAGAGTTTATTTTGAACCACAGAAGAACATTACTTTTAAACGACATAAATTTAATACAAGATTTCAGAAAGGAGGTGAAACTGTAGACCAGTTTATCACTGATTTGAGATGCAAAGCTAGGTCATGTGAATTTGAAACGCTCCATGACAGTCTGATAAAGGACAAGATTGTGGTCGGAATTAGAAGGGATAAGGTTAGAGATAGACTGCTTATAGAAAGTGAACTCACATTACAAAAGGCTATTGAAATATGTCATGCAGCTGAAGCTAGTTCAAAACAACGAGATAGCATGAAAGTAAACACAAAGAATGAAACTACTGTAATAAGTACAGTAAGACATACCAAAGCAAATTTTAAGCATAAAGTAGGCTTATACATTAAGAGTGGTATCATTAAGAATTGTAGACAATGTGGTTATGATCATGTAAGTAAAAACTGCCCAGCTTATGGGAAAACATGTAAAGCTTATGGTAAATTGAACCATTTTGCAAACAAGTGCTTGACTAGGAATAATTGTCATCCGCAAAAGAAACCTAAGAAAAAAGTACATGAAGTAAAGGAAGTAAGTGATAGTGATGAAGAGTCAAGTAATGAATTCTTCATGGATGCTATAGAAAATGAGCATAATAAAAAAGAGTGGACAGTAAAGTTAAATGTTCATAATAAGCGTAAACAGAACATAGTTGAGTTAAAACTAGATACTGGTGCTCAATGTAATGTAATTCCAGAAAGAATAATACATGAGTTAGGTGTTAAAGTCAGTAAGACAAATGCTAGATTGATTACATATTCAGGAGAAAGAATCAAACCAATAGGTAAAGTAACCCTTGTTTGTGAGCACAAAGATAAATATTGTGATGTGGAATTTCAGATAATGAATCAAAATATACAGCCAGTGTTAGGACTTGAAGCTTGTCAGAGACTAGGCCTAATTAGACGTATAGAAACATTGCAGTCCGACATTTATCATGATATGATAAATAAATATGATGTGTTTGAAGGTCTAGGGTGTATTAAAGGTGAACAACGTTTACATGTCAAACCTGAAGTTAGACCAGTTGTACATGCACCTAGAAGTGTTCCTGTACCACTACGAAATAAAGTTAAAGCAGAGTTAAAAAGAATGGAAAAACTTGGAGTAATAGTTAAACAAAATCAGCCAACACAATGGGTTAGTAGTTAGTAGTAGCTAAAAAGAACAAAAATAGTGTACGTATAATTATGTCTAGATCCAAACGATCTTAATGAAGCATTAGAGCGTGAACACTATCCAATGAAAACTATTGAAGAAGTAGTGACAAAACTTTCAAATGCTAAAGTGTTTAGTACACTAGATGCTAGTAGTGGATATTGGCAAATACAGATTGATAATGAAAGTTCTAAACTGTGTACTTTTAATAGTCCTAATGGAAGATATAGATATACTAGGCTACCTTTCGGTATTATGTCTGCACCAGAGATCTTCCAAAGAGTAATGACCCAAATGTTTGAGGATATAGAAGGTACAAAAGTAATAATGGATGATATATTAGTGTGGGGTGTAGATCAGAAACAACATAATGAACGTCTTGAGTGAGTACTCAAACGAGCTAAAGAACAAAATTAAACCTTAAACTAAATCTGGATAAATGTAAATTTGGTTTACATGAAGTAAAATACATAGGACATACCCTTACATCAGAAGGTTTAAAGCCAGGTGAGAGAAAAATACAAGCAGTGCAAGGAATGCGTAAACCTATACGTAAATAAGAATTATTAGAATTACAGCAATTTCTAGGTATGATAAATTATCTAGGGAAGTTTATATCGCATCTAAGCAATGTCACACGACCACTGAGAAAACTTCTTGAGAAAGATATTGACTGGCAATGGCATGTTGAACATGACAAACGTTTTGAAGAGTTACAACGCTTAGTAACAGAAGCTCCAGTTCTTCAATACTATGATGTAAATAGATCAGTAACAGTCAGTGTCGATGCATCAAGCACAGGTGTAGGAGCCGTATTGCTCCAGGAAGGACATCCAATAGCGTTTGCGTCAAAAGTTAAAAGCATTTACAGAGTCACAAACTAGATATGCTCAAATAGAGAAACAGTTAGCAGCAGTGGTATTTGGATGCGAACGTTTTCACAAATATTTATATGGCAGAGAATTTGTAGTAGAAAGCGACCATAAGCCACTTGAAGCTCTTATGAAGAAAGCTCTAGCAATGACGCCACCAAAACTACAAAGAATGTTGTTAACATTGCAGAAATACAGTCTCGAATTGATTTACAAGAAAGGTAAAGAACTGTATATAGCAGATGCATTGAGTAGAAATCATCTACCAAATGTAGAAACAGAAAAAAAAAATACCAATATACATGGTAAATAATCTACCAATGTCAAAAGAAAGGCTATTAGAAATTAAACAAGAAACTACAAATGATAGCACTTTGACAAAACTAAAGGAAGTTATCAGATAAGGATGGCCAAGTAACAAAGCGATCCTAGATACTGAGTTAAAACCATACTGGGACTACAGAGAGGAAATATTAGTGGAAGATGAGCTATTGTTTAAAAATGACAGTGACAATACCACCAAAACTGAGAAAACAAATGATTGCAAAGCTTCATGTAAGTCATCAAGGTTTTGAAAAAACCAAGAGACTTGCGCGAGATATTATGTTCTGACCTGGTATGAATGCACAAATAGCAGATACAGTGAGCAGGTGTGAGATTTGTCTAACACACAGAAATCGAAACGCAAAAGAACCGATGATAGGACATGACATACCAACACGTCCATGGCAAAATGTCGGAATGGATTTATTTGAACTGTACGCAAAAGACTATCTGTTGATAGTGGATTACTATTCAGGATACTTTGAAATAAATCAAATCTAGACAAGTACAAAATCCAATTCAGTCATCAAATTCTGTAAACAACAATTTACGAGACATGGAATCCCAAGTGAGGTAGTGTCAGATAATGGACCTCAATTTTCATCAGCGGAGTTTAAGGCTTTCAGTAAATCATATGAATTTGAACATACTTTAGTGTCACCAAATTACCCGCAATCAAATGGAAGAGCTGAAAAGGCAGTACAAACAGCAAAGTTGATACTTAAGAAAGCAAAGGAAGACAAACTAGATCCATATATAGCGTTACTAAACTATCGCAATACGCCGCGAGATGGACTACCGTCCCCAGTTCAATTGCTAATGAGCCGTAGAACAAAAACGCAGTTGCCAACGTCAGAGAACCTCCTAAAACCGAAAACTAACAAAAATATTGTCAAAACAAACAAAATAAACAGAAAACCTATTACGATCGTGGAGCAAAACCTCTCAAAGCACTGAAAAGTGAAGATAGAGTTTGTGTAAGAAAAGATACACAATGGAAGCCAGCACTAGTTGTTGAAAAACACAATACGCCAAGATCGTATATAGTTGAAAGCGATGGTAGATACTACAGGAGGAATCGTAGAGATTTGATTGAAAAGGAAGGATGTCAAAATACTAAAGACCGGCGTATAGAACCAAATAGCACAAGACAGAACCGACTTCGCTACCCGAAACGTAACAGAAAACCTTACAAAAACTTGATCTGTGATTATATATATAAAAAAAAGGGCAGAATAATCCCTGTATAATCACTGTGCCAGGATAGTCTACTTCTGAGCACAAAAGCTAATGAACATTCGTTAACAGAATGTAGTTATTATTAGTTTGTTGTAGAATTGTTGCATCAAATGAAAGAAAATGTATTACCTGTTAAGGATTGTTTATTAAGGAAAAGGAAACTTAAGTGCTAAAAAGAAATATTAGATAATTAGATTCTGTAAAAAAAAAAAATTAAAATTAAAAAAAATAAAATAAAATAAAAAAGGGAGATGTAATGAAGGTACTTAAGATTATGAGTGAGCCCTCTATTGTATGATACGTAGAGTAAGGACACATAAGCCTTAAGGCAGTTGATAACAAAATACCAATAAAGGAACATACAAGAAAGTCAGAACATGTTAATATGCCGCATTTCTACAAAGAAGTTGTTGAAGCCTGGAGGGTAGTAGGAGGAGAGTTAACACATGAACCTGTGACAGCAAATAAAGTCTATAAGGAGTATATGTGGGGAAACCCTCATATCAAGATAGATAATAGAGTTTTATACTCCCGTACATGTATTGATTCTGGTATTGTTAAAATTCAAGATATAATTCAAAATGGTATATTAATTGACCCCAAAGCTTTTAAAGATAAGTTAGTACATTGCTGTAACTAAGTAACAGAATATTGGACTGTTAAAAATGCAATCCCTAAAAAGTGGTTAATAATTCTAGAACATAACATAGTACTGAGACAGCATTACTCAATGTGTATACGGACATTGCTGTCTCGATTGATAAACATCGAGGTGTCTTGTTAGTCTTGGTTGATTTGTCGGTGGCGTTTGACACAGTTGACCATAAGATCCTTATTAATCGTCTAAATGTTTCTTTTGGATTTTCGGGATATGCCTTAAGGTGGTTTGATTCCTATCTCACCAACCGGAGTTGTCGTGTCTGTGTTGATGATAATTACTCAGATCCACACTTATTAACTTTTGGGGTTCCACAAGGCTCGGTAGTTGGTCCTGCTCTATTTAGCTTATACATCAGTCCGCTTGGAGACATCATCAGGCGTCATTGTATTAAATATCATTTTTATGCTGATGATCTACAACTGTATCTTGATTTTGACCCATCTCTTCCCTCTTCCGTTGATCTGGCTTTGGATAGACTTAGGTTATGTATCAAGGATGTTAAGATTTGGATGGCTAAGAATAAGCTTAAACTTAATGATAACAAAACAGAATTCATTGTTTGTGCTTCCAAGAGGCACTTAGAGCTTGATCACGTTAGACAGGCTTCTCTGTCACTTGGTGAACTTAACACTCTACCCACTAACTCGGTCCGTAATCTTGGTGTCACATTTGATTCCACGCTGTCGCTCTCTAATCAAGTTCAGTCAGTTTGTAAATCGACCAAGTACCATATACGTAACTTATGGAGGATTCGCAAATTTGTTGACTATTACACCTGTCAGGCAGCAGTTCGTGCACTTGTTTTGTCTAGAATTGATTATTGCAATTCATTGTACTCTGAGTTGACTGTAACTGATTCTCTAAAATTACAGAAGTTGCAGAATTCTGCTGCACGTCTTATTTTTAAAATCCGATCCTCTCATACTCACACTTCACATCTTCTTCGTGAACTTCACTGGCTGCCTTTTAGGCAAAGGTTTTATTTCAAATTAATGGTTTTTGCTTTCAAATCACTGTCTGGCCTATGCCCACAATATATCTCTGACTTTTTACTTGTACGTAAAAAGCAAATTCATACCAGATCAGCTTTGAATGTTAATTTCCATCAACCTATCTTTAACAAGCGTATTGGTAACAAATCTTTTTCATGCGAGGCGCCACTCTAATGGAATAACCTTCCAGTGCATATTCGATCTTCACCATCTGTGGCTGTCTTTAGGTCTAACTTAAAGACTCAATGTTTAACTAATTATCCCATTTTTATTCTTATTTTTATTTTTATAGTTGCATTACTTACTCATGTTTACAAGCTTTGCCACTCCTTCTTTTGATTTGTTTACTTGTTCTGTGCTTGGGTTAGGCATTGATCACGGCTGCTTGTAAGTTGTGAGGTGCCTAAATATGTGGGGTGCAGCGCTTCGTATCTGCAAAGAAAGGCGCTTTACAAATGTTCTCATTGGATTGGAGCGTAATAAAACCCCCAAAAAACATAGATAATTCCAAATTATGGAGTATGATAGCTCTAAATCTACTTCATTGTTCAAAGTAAACAATAAATGTATATATCAGAACATAATACTAAAGGATTTTATTCAGCCGAAAGGAATGATGTACTGGCAAAGTGTGCTAGACGATGATCGTATTGAATGGAAAAAAATATGGAAAAAAATTATGAAATTTATGAGATTAAACTCAAACAAGTAAATTTCAAACTATTGCATGCCATCCTTATATCAAATAAAAAACTATACCAATATAAAATAATTAGATCTCCGTTATGCACACTTTGTGGTCTAATAAATGATTACATACATATGTTTCTACATTGTAAGCGAGTAAAGGGATACTGGTCTAATATCAAACGGGTGTTAAAAAACAATAGATTTATAGTAGATATATATATATATATGAATACAATCGTTAAGGGAATTCACAATATAGAAGATAAATACAATACTGTAAATGAACTCATTACCTTGGCAACCTTTGCGTTTTGCGAGCGCAGCCAGCAACCAGGGGGAGCAGGGGGCCGCCCAGGGCCCCCGGTCGGGGTCCAGGGACCGAAGGCCCGGAAAAAATAACTTTCTTACGTCCTAGTAGACTAATTTGAAGGCATTTTATCATGTTAATCTCCATATGTCCGTGAACACAGCGATAGGGCCTATCAAAAAATTACCAGTGGAGGACATGGAGAAACAAGCAAATTGTTTCCCAAATGAAATACACTACTGTGTAAATTCGTAACCATTACGAATAAAAATTCAAAATCAATTCTGCTTTTAAATGAATAATAGCAAAGTTTGATATAAAGAGTGGATTAAAAGCGACTGTAAATGAGCTGATTCAAACATCTAGAAGCATTTGAAACAAATTAATCAACATTTTTATTTTTGACATCGACAGAAAATATATACAGAGGTATAAGCATAATTATACTGTATGTATACGCTATCTATCCATTGAACCCGAGACATGGTATTGTATAAAATGATCATCATGATACGACTTCATTGCTATACACTGACATACCGGCTGGTAGTTTGGAGAAGATACACATAGACGATAACGTGCATATAACGTGTGTATGTTTGTTGTGTTATGTTGCTGGCAGTACAAAATATTGCGCGTGTGGAGTCAGTGCTCTAGTAGGCCTATTCTTATTGTAACACATTTGTACATTCATACAATCTTGTATAAGATAATATGAGTGAATGATCACAAACTTAACGTGTGGTTTATTTTTCAAAGCTTGTGGTCCTAATAACTGGGGGCGTGATTGCGATATAATTTGCAGAACCAACCCTCCAGGTTGTCCAAGTATTCTGTTCTGTCCACCTGACCCTTTCGGTTGCTCGTGTATGTCCGGATATGGTGACCTTGATTGTAATAGAGGTAAATTTTACAGCATGTGTTGTAATACTAGGCTTTCATTTCATTTTATGTATTCGTCTCAAAAATACAAATTCACATAAAATAACATACACAAAACAAGACGGAGAGACAGGAAATCCAAAAAGAGAACTAAATCAACTGTCAAGTGGATTACCTAACAAAAAGACAGAGACAACAAACACAAAAAAATATAAATATATATGAATATAAATATCAAAATCAGCACTTAAAACAATCTTTTAAGGCTTTATAAAAATATTTAAATTTTAAAATAAGTTTATCACGCACATTAGTCTGTAAACCATTTCAAAGACAGGGAAAATAATTACTTATAGAATTTTCGAAACAATCAGTCCTAGCAAAGTTATGATTAAATTTGGAATCACTTAAATTATAACGTCTAAGATTAATTTTAATAAGGTTGAAAATTGGAAACTTATATCTGCATGTAGCTTTTTGCGTTTCCTTTATATTATCAATCTTACTATTAATTTTGGTATACCAACATAAAAAAAAAATAATGCTGAGTATATATTCATGTATGTATCAATCCACCAATCAATCAATTTTGTCGGTCGGTTGGTCCATATCGATAAACCGACCAACGACCAACCGACCGTATGTGTATATTGAGTCGTCATTACCTGCTATTGGCTTTTCACATAACCAACAGCATATTTTTTTTTAATTAACATTATTTAAACACGGGCAATTGCTGTTAACTACAAAAATACATTCTTCTTCTTGTGACTTAGTTTGCGACACTAGAAAAACGGGTAAGTATGGACCCGGATGCCTTCTTGACTGTCACTGTGACGCTACTGAATGTCGGCCTTCAGAAGGTTGCAACACAGCCGCCACTTGTCATACTGGTTACACTGGCACCCGTTGTCTAGGTTTGTAAATACGCGATTTTAAAACATTATAAATCAAAATCGATCAATTGTAGATATTATTTTCTCTTTCGCAGGGTGAAACCCTATTTATTTCAATAATTTTTTTTTTCTCATTCTTTTTTCTTTTTATCATAGTTCACATTAATACATCGACATACACACGTGTATACACACGTAGAAGATTAGGATCCACACAAAAATATGCATAAGGCATACATTCACGTATGCCATTTAACTTACAAACTATTGCAATACAAAACTCAATATCCTTATTGTAAATTAAAATATATGTATAAAATCACAGAATTTAATTTTTTTAAACTATCATTTCATAGACATAAATTCGAGCGAAAGCAAGGTTATACCTTTATTTATAACAAGCCTCTCAGTCGTAGATCCGATTTGAAAACAGAAAGGAGATGTTGGTGTTTTCCATATCTGTATCTACCGATTGAGTGCTTAGAAATACAAATCAATCTATTAAGGTAATTGAAACGCTTTTCCTTGGTCTGGTATCCAAAAAGTATATCATTTATTTTTAACATAATAGATAGCCCACTATTTAGCTATTCAAGTTCAGTAACTTCATCCCAAATTGGCTTTATGTGAGGGCAGTCAAATACAAAATGAAAAAAAAAATGTCTCAATTTCATTCCTTTCTTCACATAGAAGACAAAGGTCAATGTTAACTAGAGATCGCTTCTACAATGATAAATACTATGCAGCATTTTCCAGTTAGTCGTTACGTGTGTGTTTTGTTCTGATTTTCGTTATGTTGAGGGTTTTGTTCATAAATTAAAAAAAAATGTATTTGAAGCAATGTTACAATCTTTAGCTCCACTATTTCTTAAATTTTTCCATGCATTGGGAGAGCATTAATGATTTGATAGTATTCTGTTAACAAGTTTTGCTTCCTTTTTATTTTATTTATTTATTTATTTATTTATTTATTAACCAAATCAACAGCAGACACAAATCCGCCACTTACAGAATGGTACACAAGACAGGAAACAGAAAACACTTTACTAATCACATCCAAGACAATTCGACGAAAAGTAGGCAAGTCAAAATTGGTAGGGCAAAAATTACACCTATACATGTTTCTCCTGACGCAAATCCAGTTATTGTTTATTATTCCATCACGACAATAACAATTACTATCAACACTGCAGTACCCGCTGCTTACTTGGACTCGAATTCAACCCTGGCCATCAGGCGCAAGCTCGGTGGTCTAGAGGTATGATGCCAGGCTAGTTATCTGGAGATCGTGGGTTCGAGTCCTACCCGAGAACAACTTGCGATTTTTTTCGCAGTTGTTTTCAAATGTACTGAGTATTCGGTACATTTCCACGTCAGGTAGGGCAAAAATTACACCTATACATGTTTCTCCTGACGCAAATCCAGTTATTGTTTATTATTCTATCATGACAATAACAATTACTATCAACACTGCAGTACCCGCTGCTTACTTGGACTCGAATTCAACCCTGGCCATCAGGCGCAAGCTCGGTGGTCTAGAGGTGTGATGCCAGGCTAGTGATCTAAAAATCGTAAGTTCGAGTCCCACCCGAGAACAAATTGCGATTTTTTTTTGCAGTTGTTTTCAAATGTACTGAATTTATTCGGTACATTTCCACGTCAGGTAGGGCAAAAATTACACCTATAAAAACATTGTTATTTCTAACAATTGTATAACAATCGTCCAACAGGAACTCTTCGTTCCCACTTACAGGCGAATATTGCAATAAACGTCAACAATATAATCAATACAATAAAATCACAAGATATACAAAGTTAATTATTATTATTATTATTATTATTTATATTATTTCTATAATTATAATTAATATTGCTATATTTACAATAAATATTTAAATTACTAAAAAGTATTAATAATTACAATTAAAATAACGTTTATATACTTATTTTTTTTTACTAAAACTCCCACGAAGGGTTTTATTTTTTTTAAATACCGTCGAATAAAACTTTAACAAAAATAATATCATTGGCATTCCAATTATAAAAATACCAGGTAGATAAGTCAAATTTTATACTTTCCTTAAGCCAAATTATTTGGTTGAAACAATGGTGAGGGTCTATCTCGCCTTTTGTCCTAGTATCTTTAACTTCACACCATGCCTTTAGGCAGTCAATGTAGAAATGGTTAAATCTAATATGTTTGCTTATGTCTTCCTGTTTACAATTAAGGTCAAAGTACAATTTGTTTTGAATTACAGAAGTTAGAGTATGCAGGGGTATGTTTTTCCATGTCGCAATTTCTTCATTATGTACCCTTTTCAACCAGTTTACTTGAAAGGAAGTCAGGTAACTATTTAAATGGATCATGTTCAGTCCGCCAGAGGTTTTTTTGTCCAATAACCGTTCTTCTTTTAAATTTGTCTTTGCTTCCCCATAAAATTTTAAAAATTAGTGTTTCAATTTCTTTAATTACAGTATCTGGGGTCTCTAAAAGCAATAATGGGTACAGAGTTTGTAAGAACAGGAGAGATTTTATCACTTGAATTTTAACTTGGAGCGATAAGTCCCTCGTTGTCCACGATTTTATAATTTTTGAGTTTATGGATTCTGTTACTTCAATTTCTTTAATTTCACTCGCGGATTTCGAGTTGATGAAAAGGATACCTAAACATTTAATAGTATCCCCACACTTTTTCTAATTTATTTCGCCAATTACATCTCCTCTGTTTTTGTTTGTCGCTAACCATAGGCCTTCTGTTTTACTTTTGTTGAGAGTAAGACCCGAAAACAGTGCAAACTCATATAGTTTCTAATGCTTTTGTAATCGATTTATCATTTTCCGCAAATATTGTGATGTCATCTGCAAAAAGTGATGTCCCTGCTTCTTTAATTGGGTAATCCGACATTGGGAGCTTTATTTCTTTGAACATTTTACACTGTCTAGTTTTTGCTGCGAGAATTTCAACTCCGATAATAAAAAGGGGGGCGCTTAGTGAACAACCTTTGTGTACACCACGATTCACATTTAAAAAAAATGCAGATATCCATCCGTTATGATTAATACAACTTTGTGACTTACACGTTAGAGTTTTAACCCAATTTATAAAAGAAGGACCAGAATAAACAACATTTAGAGCGTTCAAAATGAAATTTCTATTAATACTGTCAAAAGCTTTACGGTAGTCAATAAATAATGCTGCACCTTAAAGTTTGTTTTCATTTGTCATATTAATTATATCATCAATTAATCAATTGTAGATATTAATGTCTTTAAATTATACCAATATAATAAAAAAACAAAACAAAAACACTCGCATTATGTTGACGGTTTTGGCTTGAGAATCATGTCTCGTTCACAACGATGGCCCCTACTTTAGAAGGAATTTTTATTTTTAACCAACAGCTGTTGCTTACAATGGTTTCAGTAACTGCTACGATTACTTTCTCGAATGAAATTATGAGCCCTAAGATTAATTGGTTACTTCACTTACACGTGTGTGTGTTCGCAAGGCTAATTAAAGGAACTTTAAGTGTTTAAGTCGTGCTGCCATATACGAGGAAAAGAATACAGGACTAAAATAATTTAATGATAATTATTATAAATATTATGTTACAACATTTCATATCAAATATTATATCTATAAGATAATTTAATAAGCACTTCCTGAAAATAGAGGAACGCACTATAAGTAATTCTAACCTCTCTAATCAATTATGTGCAGTTTTTTTTATGTCCCAATTATCATAATAATATTGTAAAAACCTTATTAACCAGAACATGTACGTTAATTTGTTTGTATGAATGAAATTTTATATTTAATGGTATTTTAAAATTGTAAAAATAAATCAGAGAAATGTTGTTAGAAATGGTGAAATGAATTAAGACTTGGATAATGACTACATTATTTTTACATGTTACTGTATATGAGGTTTTATCGAATTTTAAGAATCCTTTTAAGTTCACGTCTTTTACATTGCCGTGTTACTGTATGTTTTAACTTTCTTTTTATGAACGAACCGTCACTATTCTACGCGTGACGTGTGCCGCCGATGGAAATTCGTATATTATTATAGCGCTAATATCGTACGTCGTCAAAACTAGTCAGCGATCTAAGCCTATGATACGCCCTATTAATCTGTGCATTATTTTCTGCTTGCTGGATCGTTCAGCTTTGCTGATTCTGTTTCCTTGTCCTCTGTTTCCTTCTCCTTTTCCCTGTTACTCTCCTTCTCTGTTTCCTTCTCCTCACAAATAACATGGCATATTGGTGTCTTAGCACATATACATTGGCATAAATAACGCAGAGTCTTTATAGTGTTCAGGTATTTGGAGTCAAATGTTATTAAAGGGTCATTTTTATGTTTTTCTGATAACATTTCAAAACGCTATTAGTGGCAAACGATTTTGCCGATTTCAGCCAATTTTGGTCAGTACCGTATACCTGATGACACCTGCAATACATGACGTGCTTACTGCTTGGGGTAAAATTTTACATAGGGGTCATTAGGGTAAAAACCCCAAATCTTATGAAGACTAACTTCTGTCACAAATAACATAGCACAGTCTGGCCAATGCACATAATTCCATTGGCATAAGGTAGAGTCTTCATGGTTTTCGGTGATTTAGGTTCATAGGTCATTAAGGTTTCATTCTTATGTTTTTCTGGCAATATTTCAAAGCGCTTTAGTGGCAATTAAACGATTGGGCCGATTTTTAACTAAATTAGTAAGTAGAACCAGTCACCTCAGTCCCACAATGGGTGTTCTCAGCTTGGCGTCAAAGGTCACATGGTATTAGGGTAAAACATATCAACTATTAATTAAAGAATATTTATGACTCAAATAACATAGTAGGACTACAGCCTTGTCCTGTGCACATCATTGGTTTATGTCTCTATGGTGTTCAGGAATATGTGGCTGAACGTCATTACAGAAGACAAAGAGCTAATTTCAGATTTTTAAAATTATAAACGGCTTCGAAAGGATTTCTTTTGACTCTTTTTTTGAAGTTGATAAAGGTA